ACGGTATGTTATGACAGGAAGTGTAGTATAAACCAATGACCATTGTTTACGTAACGTAAGACTAGACATAATTTCACCNCCATACACTAGGCAACATGTTGCTTGCAACATTTGTGGTTACTTTGATCTTGTAAGCAACATGTAGCCAGAAATAGAATAGCCTTCTATTTCTGGCAACATGTTGCTTACAAGATCCCGTGCAACAAAGAGGCGGAGCCAGACTACCACAAATGTTGCAAACAACATGTTGCCTAGTATATGGGGGCCTTTACACTACGTAAACAGTGGCCATTGTTTTATATAGCACTTATTCCTATAGCCTTACCTTATGTTAATTGTGCAGTGTAAATCAGGCTTGAGGATCATGTGTTGCTTATAGCTTTTGTACACAAAATGTTAGACACTTTATTTATTGAGTGCATAAATGCCTCTACATGCAGTGGGGATATCCTTTAACCATTGACTCATAATCATTAAGCTATACAGGTTCATCAATTAAATACATTTAATCTCTCCTTGATTTTTGTCTTACAATAAAGTTTATTTGTAATAGGATGATGGCAGCACTCCATTACATTGTGCTAGTGAAACTGGTAATGACAAAATTATCAAACTATTAATAACTAAAGGAAAAGCTGATGTGAATGCTATAGATAAGGTATAAATTAAGTAATTGAATAATGATTTTTATCATTTTTGTGTTGTATTTATAGAACAGCAGAACTCCATTGTTTAATGCTGTTGAGAGTGGTAGTATTGAAGCTGTTAATATTCTATTTGCTAATGGAGCTAGAACTGATGTTGCATCTAAAGTTAGTCAAATTCTACTTAAATTTACAAAATCTGGCCTGTTTTATTCTAAATAATAACGGTATTGTTATTATTGTTCATAGGATGGTGAAACTCTACTACATTGTGCTAGTAAATCTGGTAAAGTTGGAATGCTTGAATTTTGTATTAAGAACGGAGATCGTGATGTAAATGTTAAAAACAAAGTAAAATCTATTCAAATTATCAGTCACTTTATATTACAATGTAGGACAACGAAACTCCATTGTTTAATGCTGTTAAGAGTGGTAGCATTGAAGCTGTTGACATTTTATTAACTAATGGAGCTAGAACTGATGTTGTGTGTAAAGTTCATTTTTGGGTGAACAAAAATTAAAGTGTTTATAGATTTATATACATCATGCTTGTTTGAATAGCATAAAGATCATGTGTTACTTATAGCTTTTGTACACAAATCAATGCCAGATACTGTAGATCAGGAAGTTTGTGTGCAGTAAAAAATTTTTGTGTTTCAAAATTGTGCTGTGATTTAATTTTTACTGAATATGACTGTCATGTATTATTGAATGTGGCATGTAATTATATGGGTAATCTAATTTTGTGAAATTCTAATCCAGTAAAATTAAAATCACAGTATAAATTTTCAGATAGACGGTACTTCATTTTTTGAGGTATCAAATGTCCCATGCAGTGGTAATATCCTTTAAATATTGACTCATAATCATTAACTTACAAATCTATCAAAAAATACATATACATTTAATTTTTTTGTATTAAAATTAATTATATTAGGATGATTGCAGCACTATTACTCCATTACACTGTGCTAGTGAATCTGGTAATGCTAAAATTATCGAATTATTAATAACTAAAGGAAAAGCTGATGTGAATGCTGTGGATAAGGTATTAAGTTATTATATTAATCATTTCTATCATTTTTGTGTTGTATTTGTAGAACAACAGAACTCCATTGTTTAATGCTGTTAAGAGTGGTAGTATTGAAGCTGTTGATATTTTATTAACTAATGGAGCTAGAACTGATGTTGTGCCTGAAGTTAGTAAAAATTTTATTTAAATTTTATGATATCTGGCCTGTTTTGTTTGGAATAATAATAATTGTTTTGTAACTATTGTTCATAGAATGGTGAAACTCTACTACATTGTGCTAGTGAATCAGGTGAAGTTAAAATGCTGAAGTTTTGGTTTAATAGAGGAGATTATGACGTGAATGTTACGGATAAAGTAAATTCATTTAATATTATCAGTCACTTTATTTTATATTATAGTACAACAGAACTCCATTGTTTAATGCTATTCATTGTTGTAGTATTGAAGTTGTTGATATTCTATTAACTAATGGAGCTCGAACTGATGTTATGGATAAAGTTCGTTTCGTGAACAAAAATTAAAATGTGTATAGATTTATAAACACCATGCTTGTTTGGGCAGCATGCATATTAAGGTTCATGTGTTGCTTATTAACTTTTCTACAAATCAAATTAATCAATACTAGATATGTTTTGAATCTTTTAAAGTTCCTACATGCAGTGGTGATTTCCTTTAAACATTGACTCATAATCATTAACCTGCAGATCCATCAATTAAATATAATATTTAACCTCTCCTTGATTTTTGTTGAATTAAATAACTAATTAAAGTTTATTTATAATAGAATTATTGTGGCACTCCATTACTCTTTGCTAGTGAAAGGGGTAATGCTGAAATTATTGAATCATTAATAACTAAAGGAACTGCTGATGTAAATTGTGTGGATAAGGTAAAGTTATTGAGTAATTATTTCTATTATTTTGTGTTGCATTTATAGAATGGCATAACTCCACTGTTTAATGCTGTTAAGAGTGGTAGTATTGAAGCTGTTGATATTCTATTAACTAATGGAGCTAGAACTGATGTAGTGTCTAAAGTTAGCAAAATTCTACTTGATTTTACAAGTCTGGCCTGTTCATAGGATGGTGAAACTCTACTACATTGTGCTTGTAAATCTGGTAAAGTTGAAATGCTTGAGTTTTGTATTGAGAATGGAGATTATGATGTGAATTTTAAAAACAAAGTAGTTTCATTTAAAATTATTAGTCACTTTATGTTATATTATAGGATAACAGAACTCCATTGTTTAATGCTGTTAAGAGTGGTAGCATTGAAGCTGTTGATATTCTATTAACTAATGGAGCTAGAACTGATGTTGTGTCTAAAGTTAGTAAACTAAAATTCTACTTATTTTACAAAATCTGGCCTGTTTTGTTTAGAATAATAGTAGTATTATTATTATTGTTCATAGGATGGTGAAACTCTACTGCATTGTGCTGGTGAATCTGGTAAAGTTGAAATGCTTGAGTTTTGGATTAAAAAAGGAGATTATGATGTGAATGTAGAAAACAAAGTAGTTTGATTTGAAATTATCAGTCACTTTATGTTATATTATAGGACAACAGAACTCCATTGTTTAATGCTGTTAAGAGTGGTAGCATTGAAGCTGTTGACATTCTATTAACTAATGGAGCTAGAACTGATGTTGTGTCTAAAGTTTGTTTTTGGGTAAACAAAAATTAAGTTGTGTATGTATGTATATTATGTGAGTTTGAGCAGCATAAAGATGAAGTGTTGCATGCTTATATAAAACTAGCTTTTATACACAAATCAATGATACATTTTTGGAGTCCCTATATGTCCCAGTCTATAGTAGTGATATTTTAGCAATTGACTCATAATATCTCCTCAATTTTTGTTTTTAAAACTAAATTAATTAAAGTTAATTTATAATAGGATGACAGCACCCCATTACACTGTGCTAGCAAAAGTGGTAATGCTAAAATTATTGAATTAATAATAACTAAAGGAAAAGCTGATGTGAATGCTGTGGATAAGGTAAAGTAATTAAATAATCATTTTAAGTGTATCATTTTTGTGTTGTATTTATAGGATGATAGAACTCCATTGTTTAATGCTGTTAAGAGTGGTAGTATTGAAGCTGTTGATATTCTATTAACTAATGGAGCTATAACTGATGTTGTATCTAAAGTTAGTAAAATTCTACTTAATTTCACAAAGTCTGGTCTATTTTGATTGAAATAATGATTGTTCATAGAATGGTGAAACTCTACTACATTGTGCTGGTGAATCTGGTAAAGTTGAAATGCTTGAGTTTTGGATTATAAAAGGAGATTATGATGTGAATGTTAAAAACAAAGTAATTTCATTCTAAATTATCAAACTTTATTTTATATTATAGTACGACAGAACTCCATTGTTTAATGCTGTTGAGAGTGGTAGCATTGAAGCTGTTGACATTCTATTAACTAATGGAGCTAGAACTGATGTTGTGTCTAAATCTTGGGTAAATAAAGATTTTAATTTGTATATGTGCAACACTTGTGTTTCAGCAGCATGCATGCATAAAGCCTGATTTACACTGCACAATTAACATAAGGTAAGGCTATACCGTACGGTTGGTAATATTCGAGGGTCCAAAATTTCGTGTTTTCTCCAAAATGTCCTTAGAAGCTAATATTCGTGGGTACAAATATTCGTGGGTGGTAGTTAGCAAACTTCTTTTCACTTGGATCTACTGAACTAGCTTCCAACACATGGCTTATGGTGGAATATGGAGTAACAGACAAGGACTCTGGCTCCTCTACTGACTTGAAAATAGTAGTTAGAGCTCTGCATGGCCCGTTAATTAGCTTTTATGTGTGGGTGGGTAGGGGTTAAAATTTCGTGGATAAAAATAAACCACGAAATTAACGAAAATTAATACCCCACGAAATTTACCAACCGTACGGTATGTTATGACAGGAAGTGTAGTATAAACCAATGACCATTGTTTACGTAACGTAAGACTAGACATAATTTCACCCCCATACACTAGGCAACATGTTGCTTGCAACATTTGTGGTTACTTTGATCTTGTAAGCAACAGTAGCCAGAAATAGAATAGC